CTGGAAACACCCAAGACTGGCACGGCCCACCACAATGAGCATGGTAACACCACACAGAGAGGAGAAATGAAGGCGCAGCACATGCAAATGACTGTTAATTCTAGTCTTACTATGTGAAAATAAAAAATAATCACAGTCAAAAAAGGTCAAAATAATGAAATCAGGAACATGAGTTAGGACGACTCACCCAGACCAGACGTGTAAATGGCTTTGACAGATTTCTTCATCTTATACAGAACACTTCGATCCACGTCCAGAGCCTGAGCAACGATAAAAAAAAAAAACAACCTTCAGTATCAACATATTTATATATATTTATTTTTAAATATCTGTCACAGAGATGGAACATTGAACATTTGAGGATAAAAAGCATCAAATCATCAATGACATCAATGGTAACAGAAACAATGACACAAGAGTAAACAGTGGTACCTCCCATACACATATGTCAAACTCAAGGCCCGTGGGCCAAATGTGGCCCACCTCATCATCTTATTATGTGTATGGTTGTTTTAAAATAAATGTTTTTCCTTAGAGTCTGAGGAGAGCAAAAGAAATTCACAATTTTTCTTTTATGAATTCCAATTCTCATCACATGTACGTTTACATTTGGAATAGACTGAGCAAAAAATGTTAACCCAGAATGACTGACAACTTTTAAAATTTCGGCTCCTAGCATGATTAAGAGACACCCGGCTCCAACAGAAATGATTGAAATTTAAATTACAGGGAGTGGTGGATTTACGACGTCCTCGATCTAAGTCTCCATCTTCCATAAATGTATTAAAATAGTCTTGTATTTGTGTTGTTTTTTTTTTGGGAACATTTTCTAATAATTATGGTTCCCAAGTGCAAGTCAGTCTCAATTAACAGTTACAAATTAAGAGTTACGTCACATTTAATTTGTGGTGATTAAATGTAGGTGTTTGAAGATTGCGTTGACATATGTACAAAATTTAGAATTAAAGTAGGTAAATTGTAGAATTATGAGAGTATATTCGTAATTATTTGTCAGTCTTCGGTTCTACCTTTTTCTGTATAACATGGTAAAAAACAACAACACACATCAGACATTTAAATAAAGCCACTTCTCTGTGGAGCATCATTAAACTGTCTGTAGTAAATTGTCTATAAACTGTTGTTCAGCTTTTGGCCACTTAAACTCTCACAGTTGTTGCTCTTCACGTGTTAAATATGTGAATGCTGAATGTGAAATGAGCTCTGTGTGTTCCTCTGTGTCATCTCCGTACTGGCTGAGAGTAATGAATAATTCAAGAAAGAGCTAAAAATAAACCAGAGGCCCTGGCTGACAGTTATTGTGTTAGAGTTTGTGCCTAAACAGCTGTGGCTGGGTATTTCTAAGTGTAATCGCGTGTGGAATAAAAACAAGTGAGCAGCTGAGGTCAATTACATCAAGGAACATTTTGTTGTTAAAAACATCATATATATAGTGTTTAAATACATCTCACTCCTCCAGACATTCTCATTAATCCCAGACTCACACACAGCAACCCGACGAGAAGCTGGAGGTTCAGAGCAGACAATGTGCTACTGTATAAGTGATGAGTGAGAAGTCTCCTGAGAACAGGAGGGGGATTTCAAAAAAAAAAAAACTTTGTTAAGTAAGTCCTACTGGGTCAAAGTTGGAGTCACACTTCCCTGCTGCACTTCTCACTGGAACATATCAGATCTCAAAAGGAGGAGAAAATGCACAATGGCCACCATTGAGCTGTTGGGAACACATCAACACTGTACATTCACGCTCGCACATATAGTCATATGTAGCTTTACTGCCAGAATACTACATGTCAGGGCGACATGTATTACAGGGAGTCCTCGATTTGTGTCGGAGTTCGATTCCTATGGTGCGACGTAACTCGATTTTTGGAGGTCAGAACTCACACACTGCACATAAATACTAATGTAATGAAAGTTGGAAGTATCAAATGATATTTTAAAAAAAACTATGTGGCCACATTTTATTATACGGTAATAATGTTTAATAAAAATCTCAGTTCCAAAATTTTTGACGATTTATGACCCAACAAGAGATCAATCTTTTATGTTCAACAAATTTGTGCAGCTACTATAGCTACCAAACATAAACAGTTACTTGAACACCTGACGGACCCAGAGCCTCACTTTTCTCCCACACCAACACCAACACCAACACCAACACGGTCTGGTTGTACCACGCTCCGGCAGACACTTTCAATCTGCACAAAGTGGTCAAATGGGAAAAGTGGGAAGACGAGTGAAGGAAACAGCCAAGTGAGGTAATAAAGCAATGGAGCACCACAAACTGCAGGCCCTAAATCTCTCTCTCTCTCGCTCTCCTTCTCTCTCTCTCTCACTCACTCAAGACTCTTCAATCACTTTAACACTTTCCCAGTCTGACACTCACTCTCCACGCTAAAGTGAAATGAACGTTCACTTCGCAGTAGACCACCTTCAGGTCTGCAGCTCGGCTCTGCTCTGAGATGAGAGACTTTTGAACCAAAAAAACTTCTTTTCAAGGAAAAAAGGGGAAATTCCCCAGCATTTTCAGCCCCACGTGATCACGGCTGAGATGTTCACACAATAGACCCGGTCTGAGTGCAGGGCTGGGGGTGCTTCACAAGCACACCCTTTATGACATTACTGCAATGTCAGCAGTTCCCCTTTTCCACACAGCAGCTTACAGTAAACAAATTACAGCAGCTCTGATTTCTCTGTCCTGCTCATTATAGTGGGCTTAAGTACAACTGGGAGGGGGGGGGTGGTGGATTAAATTAGGGTTGCTAATACATGACATCATCATTGGCGCAATCTTCATCAGCATCATCCTCATCAATGACAACGATTACAGAAAGGCACCATCTGGTGCTGCCCGTCATCCCAGGACAGAGAGTCATTTATTCATGGTACGGAACCGAAGGTTAATGTGTATCCGGTGATCAACTCTAGAACCGGTCAAATGAAAAGGTGTGTTCTGTAAATGACTGGAGGTAAGTCAACTAAGTCAACTGTTCAACTAAATACTAGCGTTGGCTCGATCCGATATCCAGGATCAGTATCGAGCCGATATTAGTCAAAATTTCAAGATCAAATATGAAAACAAAATAGCGACACCTAAGCCCAAAAGTTCTAGTCAACTTTGCACCACATCAAGTAAACATGTTTTTACAGTGTTTCTGTTGTAATCATAGAAACTGTTGCTGCTCTTCTGCAAATGACGGAGAGAAAGAAGGAAGTCAACCCTTCAGTTTTCCCTTTTTTTAGGTCCACACAACCACTTCCTGTTGGCCTGACAGTCACCACAACTATTTCCAGGAAGGGAAAAGAAACATTCACTGTATACAGAAAATAAGTCTTCAAAATAGGAAGTGTGGAAGTGACAGAAACTTGCAAACTCAGGGCTCGTTCTTCCATAATGTTTTTCCACTCGACGCAAAGTACCTTTACTTCTCCATCCATTTCTTGTCATGATATAAGAATAGAAAGAGAACAGACATTCACAGGATTAAACATTCTCCATCCATTTCTTGTCATGATATAGAAAAAGAATAGAAGCAGAACAGACATTCACAGGATTAAACCCAACTCACGTCCATGTGGTGTGTACAGATACAGCCTGTCCATCTGAGGGAACTGAAGTGATAACCAAGTACAACTAACACAATGTACAAGTCCAATAAGTAAGGATGAGAGGAAGTGCTTTCAGACAAACGAACACACAGACAAGTCAGAGACAATGGTAGGTGGGTCAGTGGTTGGGTCCCCACCTGCTATGCAGAATGTCAGAGGTTCGATTGCAACTAATCCTCAATCCCATTGGGTTGTGCCAAAATCTCAACTAGAGGGGGTCCTCGGGTTACAACGCCCTCGACCTGCAGTTTTTTGTGGTTTCTCTCCATCCCCTATAATTTTTTTTTAAAAAGGTTTCAAATTTCACAACTTAATTTTTTTTTAAAAAGGTTTCAAATTAGAAGAACTAGAATATTGGAACTAGTTGGCAATCGCTGTACCTTGAAGAATTTTTTGCCAGTTGTACACCATACATTGGATTGTAAATTTGTTTTTTTTTTCCATTTATGCTGGGGTTTTTTGGCACATTTTGCACTTCATTGTGGCTCCCAAGCAAAAGTCAGACTCTTCTGATGTTTTTTATGTCCTAGATTATGATGTTATCACTGTGTTAACGTAGAGCAGAACAGAAGAGCAGAGAAGAAAACACACCATCGAGGATGTCAACAAAAGCAAGTTCAGCTAATAAGCCAGTTACGTCACAGAGTTCCCTGCATCTTTTTCTGGTCTCTGAAGAAGAAAGACATTCCTGAATGATTGCATGCTGGAGTGAGTGACAGACAAGACAGAGACTCAGCCCTATTGTTCCTTCTGACAAACTATCTGCTGATGACAGCATGTCTACTTAGCCAGAAGCTTTCTTGCTTTCCCTCAAAGGCCCCATTGCCTTACGACACTCAGAGTGCGTGTCCAAATTTAACAAAGACGGCCCAATAAATCCACAGCGCGTACAGTATTATAGTTGTCATCACCATGTACGGTTTCCAACCCAGGCCCCACGCAAACACACACAGTGGAGGGCCTTTATTGTAACTTTTTTTCCCCAACCGTTTTAGACCCTTTACGTCCTGCGTGTGGAAGAGTCGTGTGTAAAATCAGTGTCTACCACTTACAGCAAAACTGGCAACAACAAGGCAGCAGACGTGGATGTAATTATCCAATTTATTTAATGTCTGTGTGGGTACAACATATGTGCTGGCATGATGTATGACGTTACAAAGTCGTTACAAAGTTAGTCTCTGGGAGAAAACAGCAAAACTTCCATCGTTCTTTTGTAAAACTTCTATGAATATTAAAGTGAATTAATCACATTTATTCACTGCACAGTTTAAACACGATGTCAAACCATCAGTGAGACTCAGGTGTTTTCCATTCTTCAATTTTCAAGTGGGATCAATTATCAGGTCAGAAAGTACGACTAGTGGTGTTGTCGGACTACGTAAATGACATGTTGGTATTAAATGACATATGATTACACTTTTGACCTTCACTGGAACTTGAATATCCCAGTAATGTCAAGGTGAAAGGTCAAATGCGGAGGTTAGTTATTTAGTTAGTTTTTTGCCAGCTAAGCAGTACTCATAAAGCAATAGCGATGAATTATTTGCCAATCTTTTATTCCTCTCTACCAAGGCCCAGAGGAAAACTTTTTCTGCTGTTGGCAAGCAAGCTAAGTAGTTCTCGCAAGTTTATA